AACACTAATTTGAAAAAAAAAGTTTTGTAATTTTTTAAGACTGGTCGGAACATTCTTTGCTAATAGCGTCTTTTCAAGCAATCTTACATATTATTTGCACTAACATGAGCAAATTGGAGAAAACCTTTTTTTTAAACACAGATAATAGTGTAAACAAACATTTTTTTATCTGAGACCTTTCGGAAAACAATTTCGATTGATTCAAACATCCCGTTTGCCTTCAATACAAGTAGAAAGCTGGTCATACAATGATAATCAGGGAGTTTTGGGAAAAATTTGATCAGTTTCATAAAAGTGAAAATTGTATGACAAGCATTTTAAGTAAAATTCGAAAGCCGAAGGATTGTTTTTCATGTTTTAGTTTTTTTTTGTTCCGACCATTCAAATTGGGGATAATCTGTGTATTCGTGTGTCTTTTTTTGTTTTTCACGCAAAATCAGCTACCACAAATAATAATCGGACTAGGTTGAGAGATTTATCATATTAAAGCCCGTTCAGTTGTCATTCAATAACATATAAAATTTTCAAAAATTTTTTTTCCGAGTGTTGGGATAAACCGGTTTAAAATTTTTGTTTTTTCGTTTAATTTCTTGCGAATATGCAGGCTTACATTAGCCTATTTATGCTTAGTTCAAGCCTTGAAAAATTAGTTTTTCTCAAATGATGTTAGCTTTGGAGTCTTAGTTTCATTTTAGGAATCAAAATCTTAAAAAAACTTTTAGAAAAATTGAAAAAAAAACATGTAATTTTTTTTCCAATTCCCTTCAATTTTCTTGGTTATTTGTCTTCAAAAATTATTTTCTAATTTGCCTATTTTACAAAAAATGACAAAAATGCTCTAGATTTTTGTTCAAAATCTTTACTTACATCACGCCGAAAAACAAACACTACTTTGAAAAAAAAAGTTTTGTATATTTTTAAGACTCGTCGGAACATTCTTTGCTACTAGTGTCTTTTCAAGCACTTTTACATATTATTTGCACCAACATGAACAAATTGAAAAAAAAACATTTTTTTAAAACACAGATAGTAGTGTAATAAACATTTTTTTATCTGAGATCTTTCGGAAAACAATTTTGATTGATTCAAACATCCCGTTTGCCTTCAATACAAGAAGAAAGCTGGTCATACAATGATAATCAGGGAGTTTTGAAAAAAGTTTCATAAAAGTGAAAACTGTATGACAAGCTTTTGAAGTAAAATTCAAAAGTCGAGGGACAGTTTTTCATATGTTTTTTTTGTTCCGACATTTCAAATTGGGGATGATCTGTGTATTCGTGTGTGTTTTTGTTTTTTTTTGTTTTTCTCGCAAAATCAGCAACCACAAATAATAATCGGACTAAGTTGAGAGATATATCATATTAAAGCCCATTCAGTTTTCATTCAATACATAAAAAAATTTCAAAAAATTTTTTCCGAGTGTTGGGATAAACCAGCTCAAAATTTTTGTTTTTTCGTTTAATTTCTTGCGAATATGCAGGCTTACATTAGCCTATTTATGCTTAGTTCAAGCCTTGAAAATTTAATTTTTCTCAAATGATGTTAGCTTTGTAGTCTTTAGTTTCTTTTTAGGAATCAAAATCTTAAAAAGTTTCGAAAAGTTGAAAAAAGATTAACATAAATTTTTTTAAATTGTCTTCGATTTTTCTTATTATTTGTCTTTGAAAATTGTTTTCTGATTTGCCTATTTTACAATGAGTGACAAAAGTGTTCTATTTGTTGGTTCAGAATCTGTTATCCTATCAGGCCGAAAAAACAACAATTATTTGAAAAAATATATTTGTAATTTTTTTTTGTAGACTTGTCGGAAAAATCTTTGCTACTAATGTCTTTTCAAGCACATAGAATTCATAATTTTTCAAACTTTCATCAAAAAAAATTTTCACACAATTTTTTTTTTCTATCACTTTAATAATTTCTTTGTCATTACATTCAATCGTTGTTGCTCAAAAAAGAGTTAAACAACTTCAGGTATCAGAAAAAAAGCAAAATTTGAGGAATAAAAAGTGCAAAACAACACTAATTTGAAAGAAAAATTTTGTAATTATTTGAGACTGGTCGGACACGTCTATGCTGCAAGTGTTTTTTTGAGCACTTTCACACATTATTTGCACTAAATTGAGCAAAATGGGGGAAAATTTATCAAGGAGAATAGTGTAATTAAACATTTTTTTATCTGACACCTTTCAGAAAACAGTTTTGATTGGTTCAAACATCCTGTTTGCCTTCAATACAAGAAGAAAACTGGTCATACAATGCTATTCAGGGAGTTCTAGTAAAACTTTGATAACTTCATAAATGTGAAAATTGTATGACAAGCACAATTATAATTCAAAATTCTAGAGACAGTTTGTCATATGTTTCAGTTGCTTTTGTTCCGACCATTGAAAATGGGGAGGGTCTGTGTATCCGAGTGTATAATTGTTTTTGTTTTGTTTTTTATTCACTCATAATCAACTACTACAAAAAACAACCAGATTAAATTGAGAGATATGTCATATTAAAGCCCGTTCAGTCGTGATTCGAACAACATAAAGAAATTTCAAAAACGTTTTACCAGTCTTGAGAAAAACCGGTTTAAAATTTTTAGTTTTTCGTTTATTTTCGAGCAAGTGAGCAGGCTTACATTAGCCAATTATGCTTACTTTAAGCCTTGAAAACTTAGTTTTTCTCAAATTGTGTTAGTTTTTAGATTTTATAGCTTCATTTTAGTATTCAAAAACTTCAAAATTTTGGAAAAATTGAAAAAAAAAAACATACTAAATTCGTCCTATTTGTTTTTGAATTTTTTTGTTATTTATCTTTAAAAATTCTTTTCTAATTGGCCTTTTTTGCCATAGCTGGCAAAAATGCTCTTTTTGTCAGATTCTTTTATCACATCACCTCGAAAAAACGACACCAATTTGGAAAAATAATTTTGTAGTAACATTTTAGGACTGGTCGGAACATTCTGTGCTACTTGCGCAGTAACCAGCTATCTTTGTTGTATTTGTGAGTGTTTCATTTTCAAACTAGTGTTTTTGCAAGCACTTTTACACATTTTTTGCACTAACATAAGCAAATTGGAGATGTTTTGTTTTTATCACAGACAGTTGTTAATTTGAATATTTTTCATCTGAGCCTTTTGAGAAAAGCATTTTGATTGATTCAAACATCCCGCTTTGGCTTCAATACAAGAAAAACGATGATCACAAAATTCTTTTGAATGAGTCTTGGAAAAAAGCTTATACGTATCATATATGTGAAAAATGTATGACAAGCATCTCAAGTAAAATTCAAAAGTTGGGGACCGTTTTTTATATGTTTTAGTTCAGACAAAGGTTTACCAAAGAAATGCAAAAAAGATGGCAAATGGCCAATTTTTTGTCTTTGGCTATTTGACTTTCGCATTTTCACACAAAGTAACCTCAAACTGAAAAAATTGTTTTCGTACAGACAGAGTTTTCGTTATTTTTGTGTTTATAAGCTAAGTTTGAATTAAAATGTTTGAAAAACAGGTCACGGTTGTAAACCAATATTTCATATCACTCGCAAATCTTCGATAGTAGCTCATCTACTGAACTCTTGTCACTCGCTTATGGGCTTTCTCAACCTAATAATTGTAATTTTGGACGAAACACTGAAATCTAAAGCGAAAAGTATGTTTTCTTTTATGGAAAAATCTATTTGTACAAATTTCATACGCGGAAAAATGCTGATTGTACAATTTTGTTTTTGGTAAAGAGCTCTTTATAGAGTTTCTATACAATTTTTGTACGTATAAAACTGTATGAAGTTGTTTGATGGGCGTGTTCCCATTCATAGTAAAAGTTTGAGCAAATATGGTCAATCTGCGATCTACCTGGGTCGACCTCCATAGACCAAAAAGTTAATCATACAAGTTCATAAACTAAGTCCATGAAAAAATACTAGTCATACAAATTTCATACATTTTGCTGAAATGGCGTCATCGAACTTTCAAAGAAATTTTTTCTTTTTTTCGGTCATACAATTTTCATATATGAAAAAGCACTAATCATAGAACTTTCATGCAATTTTCTGTATTTTTGGAGTTGCATGAAAAGTGTATGATAAGCAGTTTTCCATATATGAAAGTATTTTAACTATCATTTGTGGTCAAACAGTGTATACTTGACTAATTTTATATTATTGCTCTCAGATTTCGACAAAATAGTTCCTCTGTGAGTTTCATTTTTTAAAAGACCTGATTTTATCTTCAGCAATCTTCGAAAGACCACCAGGCGTGCTGAGCGTCCGTTTTGCTTGATGGAAAACGGATGATGTTCTGTCCATTAAACATAATGGTGATGATGTAACAGAATAAATTTAAAAGTAGAATTTCAAGTGAAGTCAGATTAAAAATGTATGAAAAAGCATCTGGAAGAACCCTAAAAAAGGGTGAACAGAAAAATATATTTATCAGAAAGAGGAAAACGAGATTAGAAAAAGGCAGCATTTCAATCTTCAAAAAAAGTTAAATATTTTAAACAAAATTTACAATCACTAGAACTACTCCAGTAAAGGAAAATAGGCCTATGCTGTTTTTGAGCTGTTTTGAGCAACTAGCTCCAATTGTCTCTAAGTCATGAGTCGTATGCCCTTCAGTAGTCATTTGCGTAGACTCGTTGAAACTATTGCTTCCCGTCGTCGTATAATTTGTTGGATCTTCGTCGCTTCTGCCGACTCTGATTCGTCCGAGTTTGTTGATAAACCTAAATAACGAGGTAATTTCAACCTTGATTATGCAAGAACAAAAACAACTGTACGTTCAGAAGGAATTTATTCTAATGAACGCAAAAGTATGAAATATGTGGTAAGAATCCATGAGAATCCAAGTTTTTACGAATTTCTTATATTTCATTCAAATAAAAAAAACGAATTTCAAATCTTTTAAAACCGTGCGAAATTTAAAAAAAAAACAAGATAATATTACGAAGAGTGAAATCTATCAGGATAAGCAGAATCCGAAAAATAAATAAATTAAATTAACTTAGCTATCATTACCCGCCGACTTCTCCGTCCTGCTCGAATAGCCCAATGTAGTAAGATACTCTAGCAGCTGCACTGGTTGTAGATTTGTCTCCACATTTTGTATCCCACCCGTAGTTGACAACCCCATAAACACAAACTGCTTCTTTTTGTTTGTCTACTAGAAATAATGGGCCACCGCTGTCGCCTAAATTCAAACAATAGCTTTGTTAAAATTTGGTTCAAATCACAACTTGATTTATTTTGAAGATAAAAAATTCGAAAAAAAAAGTTTTCCAAGGGAGATTGTTTTCTTTTTTTTTTCTAAACCAACCTGGAAAGTTTTTGGCGACAAATTTTGAGAGTGATTTTCTAAGTGACAAATTTCTAAGTGATTTCTAATTAGTGTTCTCGGTCAGGTGAGAAAATCAATTTATTCGACCAACAAGAAAATTAATAAAATTTTTAAATGAAATAATATTCAAAAACTCTGGGAAAAATTTTTGGATTTGCCCCGCTGCAATTGATTTAAAATCAGTCTTCTCGCCCATGGCCGTTAAAAAAACTAAAAATTATTATGTTCCCTATTTTATGAGCCTTATAATAACGTTATGCGCCTTAGATATTGCGGAATATATGCACAAAAAATTGTATAACTGCTGGTGATAACGTTAATTTTTCAAATCTCCGCAACAAAACCCCACTGCAAAGTGGAAACTTGTTAAAAGGTACAAATTTTCTTTTATTTTTGTTATTATAAATGCCAGAAGTTAACTGTAATTTTACAATTTCCATATATGGAAAAACAATAATCGTAGACCTTTCATGCTATTTTCTGTACGCCTGGAATTGTAAAGAAAGTGTATGACAAGCATTTTTCCATTTATGAAAAGTGTATGATTAGTATTTTTAGTCAACCCTGGTTTTAACCAACCATCACAAGTGTCCCCTATGGGCTTGTCATCCTCTTCTCTCCTCTTTCCCTCTAGATCAGTGTAGCAGAGAAGGGATCCCTGAGGACTCTGATCTCCGTAGTGCCTCCTACACTCTCCCTCGTCCACTTCATCCAACTGAACCTCCTGTCAAATGTTTATTGCTTAATCTTGCTTTGGTCGAAATTGGTCCAAACAAAAAGGTTTTTTATTGCGTCGGTCAAAGCAAGGGTTTTCGGTCGCGCCGTGTAAAGCATAAGGGTTTTTGTCGCATTGGTCTGAACATAAAAACGAAAACTCGGCCCGAGTTATTTAAAGGTTGCACCTTTACTATTGGAATAAATAAGTTTTATCAATTACTGTAATGGCAACAAGGAAAAATTAAAGCATGTCGACTCAATTTGATGAGCAAAATAGCCCAAAAATATGGCGAAGACCGCCCGTGTGTGCGAGACAGGAAAAATAGTCTACTTAACAATCATCCTATGGTATCTACTAAAGAATTGCTACTCCTACAAATAAGAGCAGTAAACTAAAACTATCTTTAAAGCGTTCTGATTATATTTCAAATTTTGCAGCATTCTGATTGGGCAAAAATTGACTATTATTAATTTAACAAGTATTCCTCTTTCTGGAAAGGAGGGTAATTGTAAAGTCGGCCTGGAAAAAAATACACTAACCATTAGAAAATCCGCTGGAGTTGGCAGGATATCATTATCTTCATCCCCAGATTGGATAAGTCCCATCCCTAGTGACCAAATATCCAAGTTATTCACATTCGATAGTCCAGTTAGCCCCCCACAAGGCACCAAAGGTTGTCGGTAGGGATCGAAAACGAGGGGATCTTGTAGAACCACAATGGCCATGTCGTAGCCAGCGATGCCTTCGTTAGTCTTGTATGGACTCAGGTAGAAATAATGACTCAAATAATGAATCATCTGAGTGTTCTGTTCGTCCAGAAAAGATGCTGTGTATGCTCCTAAAACGTAAAATAGTTACATAAAAATTTTGAGCAGAAGTATGTATTTTTTCAGTTAGCCTAGTTTTATAAACTTACTCATACGAATAATCATAAATTGAAATTCCAAAAGTTTGGCCATAAACTAGAACTTTTTTGAGGATAGCTTTGAAGGCAAATTGGATTTCAGGCTCGTCTTCACGTCTATAATAAGCGCAGCCAACTGTGATTTTCCTTAAAAGTTGCTGACAAAAAATTCCCATTTGTAGGATTAAATACTCGACGATAAAAAATGTAAAGCCTAAGACTAAAATCTTTCTGATATCGACATATTTTACAACTTTAATTATTCTATGTAATGTTCATTGCAACTTGATTCACGATTGGTCCTTTGATTTGCAACTCTTGATATTTATTTTTTCAAGTTGAGTTTTGAATCCATTTGATATGTTTTTGCATATTGGTTGGCGTTTGAAAACTTGAATCATATTTTTTGTGATTCTGTGTGTTTCTTCAGGAAACAAGACTCACTTGAATTTTATCCCTTATTCCGTCTTCAAAAAGTTGAAATTAGATTTTTTACGTTGACAAAAATTTAATAGTTTTTTTTGTGAAGAGACTTCCTGTTAATTATATCCCGGGTCGACCGAAACTTCTAACCATGCAAATTTTATGAAAACACTTTTTTTGCCATAGAGCACCATGTAAATCCATTCGTATAGAAAAGTTATAAACTGATAAACTTCTTCCAGCAGCAATTTGATCAAATTTTGACCATATTTAGCTTAGCTTAGATTAGATAATAATAAAGAAATTTAAAGAAAGTTGTAAAGAAAGTTTATAATTGTAGAGAAAGTTTGTAAAAAAAGTTTCCGTTAAAAACAAAAGTACCTGAGATCACCGCGACCCATGTGGCATCGATCCAAACTAAAATCAAACAAGACCGTTTTTACTTCAGGGCAAAATTTTGAGTGTTTAAATTGCTCCCTTAAGTCAACTAAAAGTTTCTTTTTGGTAAAAAGAAGAAAAATTGTTTATAACCTAAATTTTTTTTATCCTACTGCAGGCTATGTACTGTACCAAGTTATTTAGTATGCTTGTGGTAACGTTTGAATTGGAACAGATTGCTTGTTTCACTTTTTTTGAAAGAAATATTTTGTTGCCCTATTTTTATTATAACAAAAAATGTAGCGCAAAATTTATGCCATATTGAATTATACTCATAGAAGTAGTCCAAAATTCAAACTATTTAAAAAATCTCCATTCAGTTTTCAATCAAATGCCTGGTGAAAAAGTGCAATCAACACACTTCCAGTTTTCGATCTTGTAATGATTTATACGTCATTACTGAATTTGATTTCAAAAAAAACTAAATAGTTGAAAAACGATAAAAAGAATTTAAAAAATAGTTCCTTATGTTTCATTTCGTATGGTAGACTATCATACCTTATGTTCCTATTGGATATTTCAATGATTAAGACTTGCAGACAATCTTGTCCTAGGCATGGTTAAAGATTCCATACTTTGAATTTGAAAAAGTGACATTTGGTAATTTAGTTGGTTTTTGCGGTTTCTGAGTTTTTTTTGTGAGTTCAGACCAAATAAATGATGATTAAATTTTTTAAAGAAAATGAGAGCAATTGAGGCAAAAGCGGATTGCGCTTCCTCAGGTTTTGATAATATGTTTGACCTTCTTTCTGCTGAGACCAGTCAAATTTCAAGAGGCAATGTGCAGCTGACAACACGTGGGTGCTGTTCAAAATAGTACCACCACATCCAGTTGCTGTATCAGCGGTTTCATTGTACCTAAAATTTGACAAAAACACTTGCGGGAGAAAAAACCTAAATGTTTAAAAATGCTTTAATGACAATTAAGGGCGTAATTTTATTAAAATTTGGTTTAAAGGACTTACTGGCGTATTCCGGGTCTGAAAGTGCGTTTTAACCGTATGCAATAACTTCGACCAAATCAATTTTAGCTGAAAAGAAAAATGTTTTGGTACGAATAAGCTTCTTAGAAAAAATCATGCCCTTGGAAGAATGAAAGCTGATGGTGAAAACTGGCTTTTTTAGACGGTAAGACAAGAAGAATTCTTCTAGTTTTTTGTAGAGCTCGTTAAAAAAGAACCTCTCAAAGCTGGCATTCCAATGTGCAAAAACTGATTTGGCCTTTATATCAATGTAATGGAAGAGGAGTTGGATATACTTAACAATCTATCTCCCCGCTATGGTACTCACTTAAGAATCTCCACCCCTATAAATAAATGCTTTAAAATAGCACTGAGTTTTCTATTGAGATGTATAATTTTGCTGCATTCGGATTGGTCGAAAAAAATTGACCATTTTGATCTACTTAACAATCTCCCCCCTTTCTTGAAAGGGATGGAGATTGTTAAGTAGATCCCACGAGTTTATTATGAACTTACATAATCAGTTGTACAAAGAAAGGATAAATCGTTGCGTTTTTGACTGCTTTTCCGCCTGCAAAACATTGCATATATAGTGAAGAAATCGTTAAAATGTTGTATTTTCGTGTTTATTTATCAATTATGCTTACCTGTTATTTGGGATTCAGCTTTTTGCGTCTTTTTGCTCGAAGTCCTCAATTCGTAAATTTGGAGTGAAACAGTTAGAAAAACCATTAAGAGAACACAGTGCATTTCGAATCAACTCTCTGCACAAACTTAAAAATCATTGAAGAAAGTGTTCAAACGGTTTTCCTAGTAGTGAACAAGCTAGGCCCATCTTCTTAGGCCCGCTCAATTGTCTCAAAATAAAACACATATGTTAAGTGCCATATTTAAAAAGTTTGTGCATTATGTGAAACACTAGCGCAATATTTGTGAAACTAGTGCAGTTTTTGAAGCGCTACCCGCACCGGAATTCCATGGATAATAATCGATTATATTGAATTTTTGTCGTCTGTTTCAATAAATTTCGATAATAATAGAAAATAATCGATTAAAAATGGATTATAATGAAACTATTTTCTATTCAATAAAATCCGAATATAATCGATTATAATCGATTATAATCGATTATTTTTGAACGAAAATGAAACTTGTTATTTATAAAATTTTTAATTTTGTTCAAAATTATCTCATTTCCTATTTAGTGCAGTTGCTACGTATTACGTTTCATAAAATCTTAAATTTCAGAACGAAATTTATATACTTTTTTTGGCTCTACTTTTTTAATTCATTGCAGTTTGTCTAACACTTCATTCACTGTTTTTCGCCCCCACTCTCCAGTTTACTGCCTCCCACCCCCCAGTTTACCGTCCCCCCAGTTAGGCCCCCAGTTTACTACCCCCCCCCCCCCCGCTTACTCCCCCTCCCACCATTTAACCTCCCTAGTTTACCAGTTTACCCCCCCCCCCCCCCGATTTATTTACCCACCCTGGTTTGCTTTATTTACCCAACCCCCCCTCCCCAGCTTATCCCCCAGCTTCTCCCCTCCCCCAGTTTACAATTCCCCTTACAAAAAAGACAACGAGCCATACTCAACACGACTTTGCAAGAAACTTAGTTTAAACATAGGCTTGCTAACAATTTCTTTTGGTCGTGCGGGCATTTCTAGTCATTTACTGAGCGTTGCCTAAGATCGTGCGTTAGTTTACTTACATAATTGAAGGAGAGACTTGTTACTATGGTCTCTGACTTTTTATCTCTGCTAAAAATTCCCAAAGTCAAACCAATTCCAGAGAAAGAACAGTCAGATGGTCGGGACAGAGTCATGAAACAGAACTCTCAAAAATATTGAGTTTTGTCGGCCTAAGATCAAATTCTGACATCATTGAAAAGCTTTGAACATCATTGAACATGAAGATGAACACATTTAACCTGTTATTCTGATTCGTCTTAAATGTATGCTGATTCTATGTCTTAAATTATTTTTTGCTTTAACTGCATGTTTTCAGGAAAACTTAGTAATTTTACATTTTTAAACTTGCTTTTTTCTTCCAGACATAGAAAGAACTAAAAATAGAATAGCCTAATTAACGAAATAAAATGGATTATAATGGATTTTCTTGACAAAGTAATCGATGATATTGAAGAAAAAAAATGGATTATAATGGATTATAATGGAATTTTATTTTTCAAAAAAATCGATTTTAATGACCACATAATCGATTACGTGGTCTAAATTTACCACAATAATGGATTATAATGGATTATAATGACAACATTTCAGACAACATTTTTACAATATAATCGATTATTATCCATGGAACTCCGGTGCGGGTAGAGCAAGATCTTTTCCAGAAAAATCAACCAAAACAAAATAGAAAAAAACGAGTCTTAGCTTGAAAGACTTTTCAAATGTGTTTTATACCAGATAATCCAAAGTTTATAATTCATCTCGAAATTTGTTCTCATCTGCGTGCTTCGATTGATTCACGAAAAATTTCTCCATGCAATATATGGCTATTGCTTATATCTACTCTGTAATGTTTAGCTAGTGGACAAAACTAAACGCGAATTCATGTTGTTTACCCATTGAAAAGCCTATTTGCAAGGGTCAGTTTGGACAACATTTATTCTAGTTTTCATAAAAACTTTTAGAATGAACGAAAGCACAAGATCTGAGCTACCCTTTACAGTTTGTTCCGGATTTGCAATTGCTTTTTTCATCCTCTACAAAGCTTCTAATAAGTTTAAGTACGTTCGAATGTTTCTGGGTTTGACCCGAAATCTCAAATTTCTAGATCAATGAATTCGGAGTAACCTGAATGAATTCGGAGTAACATTCAAGTGAAATTGTATTGAGAACCGAATATGAGCTAAATTTCTACGCTGTCAAGTCAGTTGACTCATTATGTTGACGATCGCATTTTTTTAAGAACATGGAGCTGAGTCCGGACTCACAATGCAAATTGATTGGGAGATATCCAAGTTTTCTTTTCTTTTGGGTCTAGTATGAAAACAAAACCCATTTTGTTTGATGAAATAGTTTTGCCATATATCAGCGGTTGATTTCAAACTTCCAGGAGTACAGTTGTACAATCCAGAATTATTTTCGCTGAGACATTTTCTATTGGCAAATTTCATAATAAATCAAAAAATTTGCACATAGTTATACACAGTTAAACATAGCCATACA